TGTTTTGGAAAAAAAGCATCGTTTGGAAACGTTTATGGTAGCTATGTGAGAATCCTTTCGTCCACTGTGATCTGTGACTTGAATATTAATGAGGTAAAATAAAGAGTGACCGCACTGAGGGTATATTTAAGACTGCATGACGGTTTCGTGTAAATTATAAATTTCAGACTCATATGCATTTCCATGTTTAAGAGGTAGTCTTCAATCAATTAAATGTATTCTAACATTTTCGCTTTGCTGATAACGAGAAACAGCTTCTCTAATATATTTTATCCATGAACGTAAAAGGTCATGTTCACTTACCAAGCCGAAGACGCATTACACATATTGATATAAACACCGAGTTCTGAAATCAACTGTTAGACAGCTCTCACCTCCGGACGGCGATAATCTGGTTGAGTCGATCCAACGATTATCACATGTACAAGTGCACAGATGACCAAATATTGTTGACTTTATTCACACTCAAACATCAGTGGTTTCACGATGCCAAAGTACACAATTTCGTCTACATGTGCACACATGAGTGTGAAAGATATCTATTTGGACATCATACAATTGGACAACTCTCATCTAGAGTATTCAAAATGTTCGTGTACTGGTTCTATGTATGTTAAGCGAATTTGTACATATATAACAACATTTTCAGATAATGAACGACGTATATTCATCTGTCAAATTATTCGGACTATACATTGGAATATTTTGCAGACAAGCTGCTGATCTCTCATTCCCGAAAACTGTCTGGGTCAATGCAAATTTACGTACTTTGATAATGTTGTAACCGAGTGCTATCAGTCGCTTCACCTTCTGTAAGAAAAATAGAATAATGAATGCATGGTTAAAAACGGACGCAGATGATTGACGCTGAAGTTTGAGAAATTCACTGGTTTTGTGTGGTAGCATTGCAAGAGGTGTTTTAATGTCTAGGATGGATATGGTGTGGCGTCGTCTATCATTCACTACGTAATGACTATCTAACAAGGGATTGTGCTGATTAGAAACATTCCTGCCAAGCGTTACTATTGTTGACAAATTGGGGTCAAATACACATGATTTCACAATAAGTGACTTCGTGTCTCGATTGATAGATTCAGCGAGTAAAAATTCAAACCGATCGTGAATGAGCATGCAACTCCCCAGTAATCACATGTTTTAACACATCGTAAAATTTTCCACACTGTCAAGTAAAACAAAACACGTTATCCAGTCACATAGGGATCACTGTTATCAAAATGAGGGTGATATGACTTCCCACACCACACACTGATCATTTGTTACTGTAAAGACACGTGCATTTATATGTCTGTTGACTGTGGGTCATTAATTAATTCAGCTAACGAAATTTACATATCTCTCACACGTTAACAAAATTGTCAGGTTTACGGATCCCGTGTTTTCACAATAACGTGCGTTTTGCATAGACGAATAAGTATCACACTACGACTTACTTGATAGATAATGTACAGCCCACTTTGTGAAGTATAATTTTTCTAGCCTCAGGCATTCTAGAAGAAGTGGGAAATGTCTCAGAAGTAAGTTTACAGACTTCTCAATTGGGAATAATACGTTAGATGTACTAAAGGGAAAACACATTAAAAACATATTTTACGAATGACAATAATTATGGTACAAAAATTGGAGACGTGAATTTTGAATCACATCAACTTGACTATTTTCCACCATCATTTAGACCAATGAAATTCAACCGCAAATGTGTTTGAATGGAGAAGGAAATAAATCTGATTTTGTTTATTCGTCAGATGATAATGCTGAAAAGCCTTTAAGCTTACGTCAAATACATGAAATGCGAACGCATACTAATCTTGTCAGATAGCTCATTGTAGAATGCAGATGTTTCAAAGCGTTTACTATGCAATTATACAAGTCTGCATAATTGTTAAACAAATTGTTTACCTTTGTGATATATGTGTGGTTATCTTGTTGAACTCACGATTGTAAATGGTTCAAAGGACAAAACTAAAATCAAAGTCATATAAATCATTGCTTTTATGAGTAGTTCGAGAATTGTACGTTGACACCAGCACTTTTTAAGTTGAATATCTCAAATTCGACTTGATCAACAAGAAACTTTTGCGATGTTGATTTGACTGAGTTGATTGTAGTGGACATGTGTTAAAACAAACTGCTAAGAATTTTGTGAAAGTGGGCAGAAAAGACCTCAAACACAATTATTGATAATGAAGATATTGTAAGGTAGTCTGGACATGAGTTTCACATGCATGGCTATTTCGGTAATGTTTCTGCAACGTTACTTAATATAATCAAAATCATACCCAAAAAGTATGAAGTTGAACGGAACAAAATATACTGTATGGTAACATGTTAGTTGAGTATGTTTTTCAGTTGGTCCACAATCACAAGTATCGTGAATTCCATAAACACATAATTCGAAAAAAATATCAGTATGATTATTGTTAATAAACAAGTTTGAATTGAAACAAATTTAGGATTGTTCACACATTCAAGCACCATCTGTTCAAACGGATATGATGCAATATTTTCTATCAAGTGTGTGAATATATTCTGTGTCTAGCTTGTTTATCACAGAATGTGAGTGTCTAAAAGCAATGGAAGTACTAGTTGAAAGAACCAGCAAATCACATTGCCAGAAAGTGTATATATCTTGAGATGGTGGAGAAGAATTGTAGCTCAGGTGGATGATTTTGATGGAGTTTTGTTCTCTGAGCTGGATGGTTTGGTCGTGGAGCTTTCATCGTTCTTCTGAACGACATCATCAGCACAAACTTCTATCAGAGAACAAAACTCCATCAAAAAGTGTATATATCTATATCTATATATACGCGACTGAACACTTTTCAATTTCATGACTGACAAAGTGCGTTCTGTTGACTGTTGAATAATGTAACTCACCTGTTGGTTGATCGAATGCAACGGTTTCTGAAATGTGACAGCGTAAATATTAATGGTGGAAACTGTGAGATGTCAATATGTGAAGAGTGTTGATTATGAACAAGTGTAGATTTGTTTGCAAGGTGATCATGTCACAATTTGAACTGACGTCCGACGATACATCGGTGCGTTGCGGAAACATTCTCAACGTGATACATTGTACAGTCATGTGTCGTTGTGGTTTGTTTGCTCATGGTAATGTGTTGGTTTCGGTGGAGTTTTTGGTTTGTTGGTCATCTACGTTTGAGCAGGTTGAATGATGCTTGGTGTTGATTTGGTCGACTGTTCAATGTTGCCGTTTTGCACCGTTTCGTCTTTGAGACGTGTTCGAATGTGCTTCGGTTTGTCGATGTGCACATTGGAATATTGTTTGTCGAAATGTTTGTCCTTCAGTCTGTGCATGTTTCTCACTTCCCAGTTTACCACTCTCTTGCTCTCACGCTATCTCGCGCTTGCTCTTTCTATCTCTAAAGGTTTTGATAGGGTGAACCACATCTGTCTTATTAGCAAGCTCAAACAATTGGGTATCAAACCTCCTTTAATTGACTGGCTCAGTTCATATCTGACAAATCGACATTTTTAGGTCAGGGTAAACTTTAATTTCTCAAAGGCTATGGTATGTCCTAGTGGCGTCCCTCAGGGCTCAGTACTAGGACCGCTCCTCTTCCTGATTTATATAAATGATCTTCCTCAACAGCTAACGTCAGACATATTGCTCTTTGCCGATGATGTGAAACTTTCGAGAAAGATACGCAACCAGGGGGACATACAGGCACTTCAGGCGGATCTGACTCGACTTCAAAGTTGGGCAGACGATAACGGACTTACCTTTAAAGTAGTAGTAGTCCATCTGCGACACGTCGCAGATTACAGTTACGACTTAGGAAACTCCTATCTAGTAGTATCAATAGTCGAAAAATATTTAGTCCTGGTGCCCTACGACTTAAAGTCTTACGCCAACTGTGATAGAAATGCCTTTCGAGCAAACCTTGCACTGGTAACATTGAAGCGCATTTTTGGTCAGTTTGACGGGAGAACTTTCCACATAATCTTCAATAGTTTCATTCGTCCCCATTTAGAGTACGGAAACATAGTATTCCCTCCAACACTCCAAAAGGATAAGGACACTCTGGAGCGTATCCAACGGCGAGCCACGAAATCAGTTCGGGGACTCAAATTTAAACCTTACGATGAGCGCCTTCAATCACTCGACCTTTACCCATTAGAGTATAGGTGTCTTAAAGGTGACTAATCCCAACACTAACCTAAGGGGTAACACCAAGAAATTAGATATACAACATAGTAGAACGGACTGCAGACACAACTTTTACTCCTTAAGAGTTGTCAAATGCTGGAATTCGCTGCCAGCTGAGCTAGTCCGAGCAACTTCCCAGGAGTCCTTTAAGAGGCGACTTGATCTATTCTTAAGGACTAAGGATAGTATCTTACTATGATTTACCAATTTCTTTTTTCTCTTTTATCGTTAATATACCTAGGTTCTTGCCTGGAGGTATTGGTGATCCACTGCTACTAGACAAGGAAGCCTGTTAAGCGAAAGCTTCTTCTATTCCGTCCACAACCATTTGAACCATTTGAATCTTTCCCTATCTCTATCTGTGTCGCTAACTCTTGCTCACTCTCTCTCAAATTACATTCGCTAATACAACTTGTTAAGTGTGTGTCACTGAGGCCTGTTATGCGAGCGCTTCTTCTATTATGTCCCAAACCATGCGAACCATTTGAACATGGCAATTGCATTTCAAGGTCATCGCCTTGGCACGAATCCAACATCAATGTGGCTTTATGAAGTTTTAAGACTTTGAACGTCCAGTTTTACAGAGAGCAGTAGAAGATGTTGAAATGCATATATTCCAACTATGTTTGTTTTTAGGAAATATAGGTAATCGTTACTCTCAGTCAAAGCAATTTGTAATTACAGCGCTTTTAATAAATGTAGGAGACCAGATACATTTGATGACCTTCAATAGTCCAAGTTTATCTAAATATAATGAAGTTAATCTTCACATTTAATTAAATTATTTTTCTATTAGGTCAGTTCAAGAAACATCCTCATCTTGTGTAAATTATTCTCGACTAGTGTGATTACATCCCTTATAAAATGTTCGCAACCGCTCTATGATCATGGTTTTGATCAGTTCACCGGTAATAAATTTGGCCAGGTAATTTTCTTTTTTTGCTACACAGTGGTCGTTACGTATACATCGGTGGTTATTGTGATAAACCTTACATCAATAATAGTATGTGGTTTATACATGTATTCGTCACTCAAACTAAGTCGTTCTCCTCCCCTTTCTCTGGCTAATATTTCTAGAAAAAAGACAGCTTATTAACAAATTTTTGATGATTCTGTCGGTTAGTAATTAAAACCATCAACATTTTGCAAGTTAAAATTAACTCAGGATATATGTTAGTGCTGAAATCATGTTTCGGCTATTGGCACTGATATAATGGTTAGTTGAAGTATCTAGAAATGAAGTTCACCGTGACGTGGTTAGAAGTTTGGTCTGACTGGTTCCTGTTCCATACCTTTGAACACTTATATAAAACATTCAGATGCTTTGTTTATATTAACGAACATGATTGCGTATCTATGTATCTATAGAGTCAGTCAGCAACAACATAGAACTTCGTACGTACGTACATCAGTTCGAGTTGCCATACCACATTAGCACAGAGATGTAGTTGTCGATTCAAATCCTATAGTGGTAGAGGTAGTAAGAGTATAAGCAGTAATCGGAAACATTAGAGTTTGTAGATGTTATTCAAGGAGTATAATGCAGTGAAATAAACCTGGAAAGAGAAAAAGGGGACATGGAGAATTAAGAAGATTAGAATTTGAGAGAACACAAAGAGTGGATGCACCTGCGCTATTGCAAACGATTTTGAGCCATGTCATTCAGAGTCTCTAACCATCGGTTGCTATCATCTCGCAGTCCCCAACCCGGTTTTATTTATTTATTATTTATTTGAACACATAAATATTGGTACAACGGGGCACCAAATATATATGCGCCACATAAAACAATGATAATTTGAAGAGGAGAAAAAATATATATATATATAAATTAAAAAGAAGTAATGAACGTGGGGAATTATACAAAAAAGAGAAAGAGAACAATGATGGGGAAAACGGAAAGGTACAATCAGAAGAAATCTTTCAGTTAAGGAAGATACAACCACTTTTTATGAAGAAAGTAAAAGAAGGTTACAGCAGGATCGCCACTGGCTTCTATTCTGAGCCATATCTGATAACGTCTCTAGCCACTGTGTTACACCATCTCTCGGACCCCAGCCAGGGAGTCGTGAAGGACCAACAGAAGCTAGCCCTTTGCAGCTTTCTTTCATACCACGACACCATGTCATATACTGACCAGCTTTCTGCTTTTTCCAACCAGTCCCAGAGTCGGCAAATAATGCACGACGAGGAATTCTCTGTGAGACATTCGTAGAACATGTCCAAGCCAGCGAAGTCGGTGTTTCAAGATGGTGACACCAATTGGATTATCGTCTCTGTGACCGAACACACGATGCCGGACCTCTGCATTACTAACATGGTGTTGCCACTGGATGTCAGCAATCCTTCGGAGACAACGATGATCGAACACAGAGAGACGTCTAACATCCTCAACTCGGAGAGGCCAGGTTTCACAAGCATAGAGCAAAACGGCTCTCACCGTCGCGTTGTAGATCCGACCTGTTACAGCCAGACTAACATCACGAAGACGCCAAAGATGGCCCAGATTGGCATAAGCCGCTCTGGCTTTCAGTATACGTGCATTGATCTCATCACTCACGCCACCACCAGCACTTGTGCAACTAATCAGATACACGAACTTCTCGACTACTTCTATTTGCTCACCATCCAGAGTGAGTACAGGATTAGAATCCTGCCAGTCTTGCATAAGTATTTTGCACTTCGAAGGTGCAAAGTACGTACCATACCTACGGACACTGATTGCCAACTGATTAAGTGTGGATTGCATGGCTTGGGCATTATCGCACAGTAAGACAATATCATCCGCATACTCAAGGTCGAGAAGTCTTTCTCCAGGCAACAGATCCACACCACCATTACCTACATCCATCAGAGCTGTTTCCAGAATGTCATCGATGGCAAAGTTGAAGAGGAATGGTGAGATTGGGCAACCCTGCCTAACCCCACTGCCTGAATGGAATAGTGGAGAAAGGTGGTTGTATGCCCTCACTCTGCCTGAGGTGTTAATAAACTTCTCAGGCACACCCTTCTTCAATAGACAATCCCAGAGAACAATTCTGTCCAACGAATCGAAGGCAGCCCTGATATCAAGAAACACTACGATTGTTGGCCTTTGATAAGTATGGCGGTGTCCTAACACTTGGCGGAGGGTGAAGATATGATCAATACATCTTCGACCGGAACGAAACCCAGCCTGCTCCTCACGAGTCAATCCTTCTCGGGTTCTGAACAACCTACGAAGTATGACGGAAGCCAATAGCTTGGACGCAATCGGAAGTAGACTTATCCCCCGATTGTTGTTACAGGAACAACGTGAACCCTTTTTCAAGATAGGGACAACTACCGACTCATTCCATGACGTTGGTACACACTCTAGTTCCCAGACCTTTGTAAACAACGTCGTCAGTCCCTTAGTCGGAAAGTCACCACCATCTTTGAAAAGAGCCGGAGGTAAGTCGTCTGGGCCCGGTGATTTGTAGCGTTTCAAGAGTTGGAGTTCCTTGCGGACTTCCGCCTCATTTGGTGGATCAGTCGTCACCGGCCATGGAGGGCAGGACAGTCTGACCGATGTTGCCGGAGCAGCAGGCCAGTTGAACTGCCTTCCGAAAAATTCTGCCCATCGTCCAAGACGTCGATGAATGTTAGTGATTGGCATTCCGTCATTCTCGCAGATTGTTTCGCTCACACCAGACTTCTTGCTGCCAGTGTCTTGGACGAGTTGGAAGAGCTCCTGGTAGTTACCAGATGCAGCTGCTGCTTCCAGCTCATTAGCACGCTCCGACCACCAGGCTTCTCGGTCCTTACGCAAGCTTTGCCCGATTTCATTACGTAACATCCTTCGTCTGTGGTCAAACTCACGGTCACCCGGAGTAGACCGACGGGCTTCAATCAGTTGTAAGGAACCAGAAGAAACCCGGTGCTTGTAAGCGGGACGCTTCGCGAACCCACAACAGACTGTACCCACCATTTTCATGGCGTCATGCAATTGCAACCAATGCTCATCTATACCTATTCGGTGGAATGGTAGCTAGCCTAGAAGCTAGCTCGGTTCGGTACTTACTAGCAACAGAAGTTGCAGCCAGCTTGCTGACATCAATCCTTTGGTGGCGGTCACTTCGTTGTCCACTGAAAAGTAAGGTAAGATTGGCGCAGACCAGAGCATGATCATAGTCCAGATAGGTACTCCAAAAGGAGCGGCAGTCTTGTACACAACCACGCCAGCGGTAGCTGATCGCGATGTGATCAATCTGAGTCCAGGCTTGAGATGTAGAAGGGGGACGCCAGGTGGCACATCGGCGATGACTGTGCCGAAAGTTATTGCTAGCCAGAAACAGGTTGTGGTCTGTGCATAGCTGCATTAGACGTTCCCCGTTATCTGTCCTGCGACCAACAAGTCCCCATCGGCCACCTAAACGACTCTCTTCTGTGCCTAGACGCCCGACCTGAGCATTCAAGTCTCCGGCTAGTACTACAATATCTGTCGAGCGCACTTTCTGGAGAACACTTAACTGGTGGTAGAATTCATCCTTGATTGCATCCGGGCTGCAATCTGTCGGGGCATAGGCGGAGATGACGAAAAGACATCGTTTCTCACGCCTATTTCTTCTCACTTTGATGGAACTTTCTAACCTAACAGCACATAACCGACTGTTAATGGGGATCCAGTCGACTAGTGCTGCCTCAGCTCTAGCGCTTAGTGCTACACCAACGCCAGCAAGACCAGACGAAGATGCCACAGGGTCCCCGGATAAACGCACATAAAACAAGCTTTTTGAAGTGACAGATGGAGAGCGAACTTGTAGTACTTCACCAGAGTCTTGAATACGGGTCTCGGATAGACAACACACATCAATATTAAGACTTTCTAAAGACATAGCCATCCCTATCTGTTGTCCGACCTGCATAAGTGTGCGAACGTTGAAGGCAGGCAGTTTGAATAATGCACGTGGTTTCAGAAAAACTGCTTCAGTACTCGTATTCGGTGGTAACATACAATTTTGAACCAGGCAGTGACTCGAGAACGTTTAGATAAAGCTGAATTTTCACCATAGGCGAGCTGCTGTCTAGGTCGAAACGGATACATAAAGTAGGAATAAGAGAGGGTGAATAAATGAGGTGGTAAAATAATAATAATAATAATAATAATAATAATAATAATAATAATAAATAGTACGAGTCATTTCAATGTTAATCAGAGAGAAAGGAATATTTTTCATAAGCAAATAGTTCATCATGATTTTAGTGCGTGGGCTGAGATACTGCCCGAGTGCCCAAACCGAAGCAGGTGGTTGTCTTAGGGGGCCACACCCCGAGCCTTTGACCTGAACGTCTGACCCACAAGGCAGTGGAGCATCGTGAGGAGATGCAGTCCCGTGGAAGCCGGTGACCAAGAAATTGGTTCATACACCATTTGTTCCCTCAGGATACTGGAGTCCATGTGCACCATTGGTTTGGGATCCGGTTAAAGCGCCGGACATTCGCTTTTCGTCCTCTCATTTTCGTAAACAACACCCCCTTCACGAGAAGGCGGTGAGTAGGACTTCCCTGGCAGAGGCTGTATACGCGTGGCCGTGTGAGAGTGTTTCGAGAGGGAGGGCGAACCCTCCCCGCTCTCGGCCATACCAGGGCATTTGGGGGCTTGGTCAACTTGTCAGTGACTTCATGGATTTGTACCATGTTTTGGTCTGGCCGCCCCTACCTTTCTTCCAACCTATTACATCTATAGAGAAAAAATACACTTATTCATCTCGGCTTGGCTTCCAACTCTTAGGTCAGTTTGTATGACGTTCTTAAGTGGTAAAAAACGAGGATTCTAACAAAAAAGTATGGGGTTTTATTCGCCATTCATTTATATTCTGCAATCGGTGCTAGAAATTTGCGCCTAAAGAACAGTATATGTCAGTCAGTCAGTCAGCTGCAACGTAGGACCAGGCACGTATATGCATCGGTCCAAGTTCCCATACCGCATTAGCACAACAAGATGAACACCGGATTCATAGAAGTAGTTAATTCAGTGGTGGTAATATATAGAAGAAAGATTGTGTATAAGGACATAGTACAGGAAGAAAGAATTAGTTCCTAGAAAGAAAGATTTGAAGTGATTTTAATCTCTTAGTTTGAAGGAAGACAGAGAGTGTATACACCGACGCCATTGTGATCGATTCTGAGCCATGTCACCAAGAGTCTCCAACCATTGGTTACGATAGTCATGCGGACCCCAACCAGGCAGTCTGCATCTACCAACATGGCTCAGACCAGAAGTTAGTGACTTCAAGCACTGATGCCACGTTTTGGTTTGGACGCCCCTAACTTTCTTCCAATCATCCCTAACACCGGTTACCATTGCGCGTCGTGGTAATCGGTGTTCAGGCATACTCAACACGTGGTCCAACCATCTCAGTCGATGAAGATTCACAACCTCATCAACTGATTCGCCATCATTCCCTAATACTCTGCGTCTAACCTCACTATTACTTACCTGGTGATCCCAACAGATGTGAGCAATATTTCTAAGGCACCTGTGGTCAAATACTAGTAACTTACGAGTATCCTCTACTATTAAAAGCCATGTTTCGCAGCCGTATAGTAGAACGGAACGAACTGCCGCGCAGTATACCCGTCCTTTAATTGATAGACGGATATCTCGCCTTCACCATAGATGACGTAAGTTGGCAAAGGCCAAACGAGCTTTTCGAATCCTTGCTGAGATTTTGTCAGACACCAACCCATTAGGGCGTTCATACAACTCTTGAACTGCATGTTGGTGTTCTTAAATTTCAAAATATGTCTCCAACAAAACTCGAGGATCCCGTCCCATGGACATGTGATACATTTTCAGAAATCCGTGCTTAGGATCCAAATGAGGTTATCCAATTGACCCTAGATAACCATAGTTGTGAAGAAAAATAGTTCATCCCTTAGGTATCGGGATATGCGGTATAAACTGGTCATTGTCACTCACGTTCAAGGATATTTATGATTCCAACGGCAGAAATAACTTCTAATAATAAATCATAACTGACAGTTAGTTCTATGCTATCTGAACGACAACATGAAAATATAGAAGTATTAAGATAAAAGCCGTTATTAACGTTTTCCTTGACTTCAAGTCTGGTGAATACAATGAGCTACCGAAAGTTGTCTAACCTCATTCAGAAACTCAAACTCAAATGTTGCGTCCGAATCGATTCATTTAATACTTTTACCAAAGTCTACAGTGTTTGTATCGAAAAACCAAATATTAGCGACAAATAAGTGAGAAAGTTCTGAAAAATTTCAAGTCATAATTTTCAATTACATCTATGTACGTTGACAATACTAGGCACTGCAACTGGTCAATTTATTTTGCCATATGTAAATCTGTGCGGATTACCTTGTTATTGCTATATATTCAAAAGTTTTTCGTAGTGACTGTAGCTAGCAGCGAAGCGTTTGAAGTGAAAGATACTGTCTGGATCTCAATGCGAACCTCAGTTGTGGGATGCAGATGCATTAACCTGAGGAGTTTCAGGTCAGACGAAACTCACATCATAGACTTCAATGGTAACCGTGGTCCATCCGTAATATGATCTAAAATACATTCAATCATCGAATCTTACTATGGAGTAAGTTCATCCATTGTTAAAGTAGTAACGTTGGATCGTCTCGTTTACTATTGTATCCCCGTTCTTCTCCCTAGAAATGTGTCACATAAAGTAGTGAACTTTTGCAAGTTTGTAGTTTACTACTCAGTGTTTTGTCAGAAAGTTCAGCCTAGATAGCTGTCCGTTTACTTATAAAGCTTTAAAAAGCAGAGTTTTTGGATACTTAATACTCTTACCTCCAATATTGTTTCATTTTAGTTTTATGAAAACCTCTTTTGTGTTACGGGATACAGTCTACAAGTAGATGACCACAGGTTTACTAGCGAAACTTCAAAGAATGATGTCTATGGGTTGTTCTTTCTTTCCAAAAACAAATTAAAGTACGTACTTTGTTCACTTTTAAACGACCTGTGTAAATATCACTAATCCGTTTCTAGTAATGGTAATTAGCACTATAGATTTAACCCTCAAAACCTCATCGAAGTGTGTACTAGCTAAGAAGAGTTTATTCAATTAATTTATCAAAATCCTACATAATTGTGAAGGTTCTCTTCATGAGGAGCGCAACTGACAGTTCTTGCTTAGTTAGTATCTTACATGCTCTTTCAATAATTTCTGGAAAATGCATGCTTTGTACATTTGTGCTTTCTCATTTGTAAATTTTAACGCCTGACTATTATTTATCGAAAATGTCCCAAATTACTGAAGAAACCGCTTCCGAATAGCGTTAAACATCTGGGAGAGATTAACCGATTGATTTGTATATTTTGTTCCAGATTTTTATAACAAGGAGAATATTCTTCATAAAAGTAAATAGTTTTAGATGAAATATACCATAGATTTTGCTATAGAAACCTGAGTTTATATCTCTCCTACTTTTACTAATGAGGTAGCCTTTAAAATATGAATATGTGATTACCTTCCTTGTCCCTAAGCCAATGTTCTACTGTACATTTTCTTAAAGCAAATCACTCTTTTCTTTCCAAGAAGTATTTATTTGGACAAAATAATGACATTTAGTGACGACTAGTATTTAGTAGGTACTAGAACTGATTAAATCTAAGTTCTGTGAATTTGGTGTTCAAGTTGTTGTGTTATTGAGGTTTGGCTTTTGAACCGATGCATATATGTTCCTGGTCCTACGTTATAGCTGACGGACTGACTTTCAACTATAAATGGGTTAAACGGAAGTGAAATATTATTTAACTCCTTTTTTTGCAATTAATTTGTATACCTTGGATAAGCAAAAGTAGTACATCTTAAATTCGATGCTAGGTATATTTTCACATATATTCTAAGGATACTTATTCAGCACTTCATTATTGTAACTTGCCCCTACATCTGTCCCAAGTCTCTTGTCCTTTAGTGGTGCTTATTATCAGTCAGTCAGTCAGTTACAACGTAGGACCAGGCACATGTGCATCAGTCCAAGTTACCACACCTCATTAGCACAGCAAGATGAACACCGAATTCACAGAAGCAATCAACTAAATGGTGTAATATATAAAGGCAAGATTGCATATAAAAATATAGTACAGGAAGAAAGTTAGTTCGTAGAAAGAAAGATATGAAGTAATTTTAGTCTCATAGTTTAAGGGAAGACAGAGGGTGTATGCACCTACGCCACTGTGATCGATTCTGAGCCGTTGTTGCTATCTTGACGTAGTGGTCGGGCTTGCCTATCGTGATGAAACAATCGAGCTATACTGGCTGGAACAATCGTTCTTCAAGGTCCTATCATGCCAGACAGGACGGTTGAAGAGCGGTAAGACTAAAAGCAACAAACCCAAGGTCCGAAGGCGAAGTCGGACTGCTGACTGTACAGAGGTGTGACAGCAGTAAGGTGTTTCCTTCAGACAACCAGCATAACAGCGATGCTGCCTTCCCACAAGCAGGGGTGGGGTTAGAAAAGGTCGACCCTAAAAATGCACACCTCGCCTTATCCCACGGACATCCGTCTCCGGCGGTAAGGTCTCAACAAGTACGGAGCGAATACACAAATTGTCCACCAAAAGGTCGTATGTGACCGACCAAAGCAGTTGTCCCTTGGGCACTGCGGTCACGCTGTCAGGTCATTAAGACCACCTCTAATCCAATTTACTTTTCAGGTACCTCCAGAAGAACCCTTCCACGGTGTGGGCAACCGGGAAGTGATAACCGCCCTCACATCTCTAGCAGCACTCAAGACCACTATATTCATAACCATTTGCTTTATTATCAGTAGTACCAATTTTACCCTTTTTTGTAATCTGATGATAAAAAATAAATAGTTAATTATTTAAAAGGTATCTTGTATAAAAGGAACTCGGTCACATTTTAGTTTGATTAATACTAATTTCTTTTTGTCTCTACAGGGGTTATGTCAATATTTCATCTTCAGAAATATATCCATCAGGTTGCACAATTCTCATCGAATCCATAAATCAATTAGGACAAAACGGCAATAATTCGATTCATTCTACCACTATGTGCCATTTATTCAGTGCCACATATAACTCCACCAATTTTCCCTTAAATGTTACGATTTTCGTAAACGATACTGAAGCATCTTCAAATGTTCAAAGATGGAATCAAATTTTGCCAAGTAGAAATAATTCAACATTTCATTCTTTCAATTATTCTATTAATTCAACATCATCTACCAATGTTCAATTAGCTGATTCACATTATCGTAACAACAACATAGCTAGAAGAGTGAAACGCTGTAAGTCATCATTTACTGGTCCTAGTTTATTCTTAGAGAATTTTTATTTGACTTATTTCTAAACATAAAATACAACATATATCTGTGTAGTTGGCTTTGATTAAACTGAACCAGCCTAGCTTCTCTATTCCATGGTATTATGAAAACTGGTTATACTATGTACTCGAAAAAGCTTGCAATTCACCAACTTTTTATAACTTCCTTTAATTCTACATAAATTACGGTGAAATTAGGTAGAGTAATGATACTTTATAGTTGCCTAGACATAGTTGAAGCACTCCACAAATAAACCCACCGTTTGAAAGTCGACACATTCAATTAGTAACCTACCAATCCATTGAATGATGGTAAATGTGAAAGTGAGAAAATAAGAGAGTAACTACTTAATACTTGCATGAGTTCTTACTCTAACTGACTTAACACAGGATTTGATTGTATGAAAATTTATATAAATCAAAACAATAAATCGGTTTTATATAATTCGGAAAGTTGGTTTGTGGTTTTAGGCTAAGCATTACGTGTGCCCCCAAATGCCCTGGTACGGCCGAGAGTGGGGAGAGTCCGCTCTCCCTCTCGAAATGCTCTCACATGGCCATGCGTACATAGCCCCTGCCAGGGAAGTCCTACTCACTGCCTTCTCGTGGCGGGGGTGTTGTTTACAAAAATGAGAGGACGAAAAGCGAATGTCTGGCGCTTTAACCGGACCCCAAACCAATGGTGCACATGGGCTCCAGTATCCTGCGGGAACAAATGGCGTATGAACCAATCGTTGGTCACCGGCTACCATGGGACTGCATCTCCTCACGATGCTCCACTGCCTTGTGGGTCAGACGTTCAGGTCAAAGGCTCGGGGTGTGGCCCCCTAAGACAACCACCTGCTTCGGTTTGGGCACCCGGGCAGTATCACAGCCCTCACACAAATCAATTGAGATTTGTGTGGCGCATATGTATTTTGGTGCCTCCCTGTACCTATACTTATGTGTTAAAATAAATAAATAAATAAATAAATAAATAATAAGCATTACGTGTGTTTTGTCGACTTTGATTTAGACGTATCCACCTAGTTTATGTAAATAAATGTGATCTTGTAACGTTGTATTTGTCACTACTGGTATACTAACATCATATTGTGTCACCATACAACCTTCGTAAGTTCATTTTACTTTGAAAAATGTATAAAATAAAATAGCAAGTTTTTGGTATGCACAACAAATACTAAAGCTGGTGGTTTTACTGAATTTCATATTATCTGAAACTTTCGTTCATTTGTTTTAGGGACTGAACGGATTCAAGTCGTGCTCTACACAGTAAGATTCAAGCAGTCAGTTAAAAATACGGTAGCACTGATAGCCCTGACATTGTAGATTTAAATCATAGCATTGTATAGATGAAACTCTGGTCACCGAGAAATCCATAGATATTACACTTCAGTATCATAAGAACATCGGGTAAAGTTAATGTGATAAGATCTAGAATGTATGTCCATGATCGGCCAATTAATAACACATCACACTGTCTATTAAATGAAAACTGTGACCAATTAGAGATGTGTTGTTACCTAGATGGGTAGCTACTTTGTTACTTTGGTTGGACAAGTCATTTACTTGAACAAAATTTTGATTGGCAAATTCTCTTGAGTAAAAATACTTCGAAATTTTTCATTGGTTTTTCGCTTCTAGCTTATTTTATAAGTTTTTAAAAATATATTGGTTTATTCTTTGACTGGACAAAAAGCTGATACAAGTAAAACGAACTCAACGCTTAATAATATGCATAGAAGTGTAGTTAAAACTAGTGGATCAAATGTAGAGGCAAAGTACTGAAAGTACAAGAGAAAACGCTGGTCAAAGTTTGGTTGTAAAAGTAGTTCATAACCATATTTATTAGTGTATAATATATAAGTCTACAATGAACCTACCTTAAACTCACTTAATGGTTATTCACACCAACAAACTGTTTGACATCTTACTATTATTTCTATTGAACTGAGCCTCATTTATAAGTATTAGACTATCTGTTTGGGGTCCACGCGGTTATCGTAACGTATGATGAGACATTGGGTGAAGTGGTTCGCAACGGTTCAAATCCGTTCACTATTTGTCCCCCATTAATTAATGAGGTTCGAAATTATTTTATACTTTTCTGATTCCACTTATTCGTTATTTCTGGTATGATTGAAGAGATTACAAAATCACCTAAAATTGGCGAACGTAACGAAGGATCAACAACACAATGATAAGACAAGCTAAACTATTCCGATGTTTTCCAGCCCTGTTAACTAGAGGGGGAAGACCAATTTCAGATGAGGAAAAAGTATATTCCACAAGCAGCCAGAAACAAGAACCAACAGGCACACAACTCAAGTGTATAAAAACTGTATAAAAAAGTCATTGGGAAACCTTACAAAATAATGTATTGAAAGAGGTGACGAACCAATGACATTTAAGGTCCTTCCAAGTGGGAAATACAATCTGAAGGTAAAAATGGGCGTTTTTGGCGCGAAAAAAGAGATTCAGATTTCCAAAATAAAATTACAAAAATAGGATGTTTACCAAGTGAATTTTGGGGTCATGCATCCCCACAATCCCTTGTTAAGTCATATTTTTTATGCCCAATCTTCCCTGCTACCCCTAACACTATTACCATATGTACTACTCTGGCATCTTACTTCAGTAATATGCTGAACTGGGGACTTAAACTGGTGCAAATTTGTCCAATGTGCTGACTGATGTTTCTAAACATTTATAGAATGTTTTCTTTTAACTTAAATGATCGAAAGATACCCAGGATATTTCATACATGATGACCTTTTGACAAATTGAAATAAGGCGAGAAGAACGAGATTTGTAAGACAACGTCCCGAGAGAGGAATAATTGTCACCAGTTCCATTGAATGATCGTTGCTCTGTACCTAAAATTAACTAAGGCTAGAGTTGTGTTATTGAACGCCAAGCCAATGACTAGTGGCTAAGCAGTCGCCACAAGATCCGAAGGTCCTAGGTCGGAATTCCGTACCAGGGTAAAACAAACATCTGTCCGGTACTCCCCAATTTTCAATGAAACCCCGACCGTAATCATCTGACGAATGCAATTCACAGATGCCTATATTTATCCCCTAACATCTTTTTCTAGGATTGTCTTTAAGATCAAACTATGCTACATAATATGAGTAATAAAAAGTCCACAATGATTTTAAATTTACTTCGGATTGACTTAAACAATATATGACAGCTTTTGGTTAGTTTTAAGGTCTATGTTCACCAAGAGCTTAGGTAAAACCAGTCACCTTGGCAATTGATTACTTCAAGAAGTTTATATACTGAAAATAAAAACTCTAGGTATGTAAACTTTACATTTGAATTCAATGAAAATGATTAACTCTGAAAGGATTTCAGTTCGTGATAAAAATTACCACCTTCAAAAAATATCATTCACTTCAATGATGATAGTGAGAGAAATTCTACATAAAAATGTTATGAACGTCTAAATATTAACCTACGTGAGGAAATACGAACAGTGAATGGACAATATACTGTAATAGGGAGATTATAATACTAGATTGTATAGTGTAACTAGTAACAGTAAAGAATTGTATATTTCTACAAGATGTATTTATATTTCCTCACAGGACCAATTCTTAAAAGACTCAATTCATCTATGAAAAAAGATACCAATAGTTTTACAAGAGTAATTATACGACCATTACTATAAATTTTCACCTATTCATAATATTAATGCACTTTAAAAGATATGTAGTTTAGAATAAGAAGGATTTATGAAATAGTGTTCTCTCTAAGGTCGGTCGTTCAATTGTGAAGCTGTCATTGTCTGATGTTGCTTAGAATCACAATAAAAACTTTACGATTAGATCATCCAGCTCAGAGTAAACTAAATCCGTTTATGTACTGCCAGATGCAGGCACGTTTTATCAGTGAAACAACATTTTAAAATTAATTACAAGTCAGGAATATAAATATGACGGTCATATTGAACAGTTCAACATGTTACTTAGACGTCCTAATTCGATGTAATGTAAAATAAGACAATGGGCAGGAAGCATGTATATCTACCGCGAAAAGTTATAAAACTTTTACATAATACTTACACATGGCCTTTAATCGTCCATTTGGATCTTGTGGTGTGTTCTGTAGTTTGAACTGTCTTCTTGACTGGCCTCCAAGTGTCCTGGCAACACTGTGCTTTTGATGCACTGAAACTCTTCACTCTATCCGACAATTGTTGCAACGGCGATATCGCGTCCCGCTACACACTACCTACAAACATTCTTATGAATAGCGTCCACTACATTAGTTCCTTATGAGCTTTAAATAACAGAAATGAGCTATCATTAACTCTTAGTAAATAGCTGTGCAGTCCATAATGTAATGACTGATCATACAGCGGGTAAGCGTTCATCTTACTTAAACTTCTATTGTGTAGTTGTTAGGGTTTGAAGAGAGAGAGAGCTATCACGGGTTCACGTAGTTTGAGAACGAGATCGAGGATTCGGTGACCAAGGTCCAGTAAGCTATCTATTGACGCGTCCCAGACCCGCTATCTAGAGTGAGAAGACCAAGCTTAGAATGAAAGTATATTCTGTAACAACCAGAAAACCAGCAAACTTTTTACAAGACAATTTCAAAACCTATATATACAATTATATATACATTGATATTGTCATGGAGCTTTGAAACATTTAATCGATAGTTCGTCAATTGACTGCCATTGAAATATTTAAACATTTAATCGATAAATTCGTCAATCAACTATGTGCGTGGGCGGTAAGAAATGCCCACGTATACATCTGCATACAAGCTCCACAAGATAAATTACAAACTATGAGTTTTTGGGGATCTATCGTCTCCAACAGTAGTATATTTGGATTTTACTCCACATACTTTGATTTCAACAACCGAATATTATCACACTAGCCGTCACTCAAAGAATACAACTTTAAATTGAACACACACATTTAAATTTATTAGTTTATAAAATGTGAAGACTTGTAACATAGTTGTTGAGTTACATCTCTCTAAGTATACAATACAATTCATAATTTCACGTGAATCAATGTAATTAATTCTGTCCGTAACATGATTTATGCAACATTGTCACTTATCATGTGTTTATTACATTGAGGCATAACAATATTGTTGATTTGAGAAAATGTCTGAGAAAAACTACCTTACTATACTTTGTTTATGAAATTATGTACAATCAAAGTAATAATGATAATAACAAATTTTTAGATTGTGGCATATATTGAAGATATATTTTGACTTATTTTACTCGTGATAAATAATGATCAGTTAATTTTTTATTTACCATAGATTTTTAGTCAAATAAGATGTGAATTCATTGCCAATCGTTAAAATCATTTGCATATTGTGATATTAAAACGTATTTATCTTACAAACCAAGTTATTATCACTTATAAATAATCATCTAACATAGTTACTCCAAATACTCCGTGTATTGAATCATAACATTTAAATACTGAATTAAATCAGTTAGACATATTAACGTGTTGGTTCGAGATCCCATTACCATAGTAATACGGTAAGATACCAGAGTAGTACATATCGTAACAGTATTAATGGTAGTACAATAGATTGGGCGTAAAAAAATAGAACTTAAGGAGGGATAATGAGATTGTGGAAGAAAAAATGTACAAAATAATTTTTCGAATTCAAGGGAAACTTGCAGAGACCACTTACGACTTAACATATCAGATTTCAGAACTACAAGGAATAATTAACTGGAAAATGTTGGGGAGATCAAGAAAACTCCTCGAAAAAAGTCAACATAGGCTTTTCAAACTATGAGAAGCATCTTATCCAATTAGCACTCACTAGAAGTTTTGTCAGAAAAATCTAGAAAGTGAAAAGTCACTTGTCGAGTTTCTGGTTGAATGATTACCTATACTGCTACTATGTTTGGTAGCGTTCCGGAATATACCGGAAACTCAAGGTCATTTAAAATATCATAAACACCCTAGATTTTCTGTACATAAACGAACCTTGGAGTAAAGCGTTTCTTCCATATTTCGCGCCTTTCTTCTCGTGTTCAAGTTGCTGTGCAGATTTGGCCTGGGGGTTACTATAAGAGCTTAGGAACCGAATATAGCGTTCAATTAGAAGACTTATCAGAAAACCAAGATGTTTTTGCTTATATTAATAAATGGCTAGAAGTGACATTTCAGAGACAAGTTAAAAAATCTGAAATACGCACATTTAACCACAAGAATAAAAGATAACTGTGTAAGTCTTTTGACCATTCAATTCACCGAGTTTACACTCAGATAATTGGGGACCAAAGCGAATAATACAATCATTGTGCTGGCTGCTTACCGTCTACCCGCAGCTCATCTACTAATTTTCAAGTTAAGCTATCATGGTGATCAGCCTACAATCAGTAGTAGTTTGCTAGTTCAAACTCCGTTTCATCTCATTCTGTTGAAGAAACCGATTAATAACTTATGTAATTGAAGCTCAGATTAAATAAACCTGTACTTAGTAAATGTTGATTTATTAACATGTTATAAGATGCTCTTACTTTTATCTGTAAAGATTTAACAATTAAAAGAAATAATCACTTCCTAGTTATACTATAATGGGAAAATAAATTAGCTAGATATTTCCACAACTGTTTAACCTTTTCATAAATTCATAAGTGTTAATATTACTTGAAAGTAATTTACTATCACTTAAAGTGATGTGTTGCTAATCAAACGTGTGCTTTGTTTTTCTTCATAAAATCTTTTTTCATTACAGCCTCTATATCAATGAGAAATACTGTGAGTACTGTAATATTTATATGTATGGTGTATTTGTATAGTATTGTATATTTTTAAAAAAAATAAAAGTTGCTAATATTTGGTTATAACTATCATGTAAGTCACATGTTATAAAACATATGAAGTAATCAGTCCTCACGTGTCCAAAAATATCTCATATAATATATTGATATGTTTTTACTTACATAATCACTTGCTCCACCATTTGATTATGGACGATATAATCAATATATATTATGTGATTCTATTTATGCGATCAGTCAGTACCAATGTTGAACTTGACACAGATATTCATCAATCTCACTTCTCATACTACATTACCAGCAATACGGTTGAACACATGAATATGATAAAAGAGAAATTAGGTGAACTGCCATTAGTAGTAAGTATTGTAGTGAACGAGAACACCAGTGGAGACAACCAAATGTATTGTAACTCAATATTACAGAATATCTTGGTAGAATCTGACAACCATACAGTAAGACTTCATTTGCAAAATATCCAACAATTGTTTCAAACTTTGTTCCTTCGTTTCCACACCAATCACTCTCTATTCTCTTTTCATTCTCTTCAATTTTCTCAACCTTCTACCGTATGGTATTCCACTTTCGATTGATGATATATACTACTTATATCTGTCGACATCAGTAGCGCACATCACAGTAGAAGTTTAGTCTGAAAATAGCCAATATCATCAATGAATAAAAAGCATAAAACAATATTAACTTTCAAAATTAGATGATTATGAATTATTGTAATTAATTTAGCGCATTGTGGTGTACACTACTGAATGAAGTAGATTAATTTCTATAAATGTTAATAATATGATGTAATCAGAAAACTGAATAGTGCATAATCGTGATTGATTGCGCCTGCAAGAGATCAAGGTATTTTACATGGAATAGTTACGTTAGAGTTGAAAGTATGAAGGATCCCATAGCAGATGTAACGTCACTTTCATAAAATATATTCAAGAGATATCATATAGTTGAATTAACTATGTAATAGTATGCTCATTAAAACAAGTATATTTCCCTGGTATATTTATTCAAATGGCAATCAGTACAACCAGTGTTTATTGATATGAAAATAATAGGTGACTATTTACCATGGTTATTCTCAACCATATACACATGCATCTTAGAATCTCTAGGAATTCGATACATTAAAGACTTAAAAGCAAATGTGTGAACTTGACGACATGTAAATCTTTTCACTACAACGAGGGTCATTCACATTCTTTACTGCGATTTATTTCTTTTTATAAATTCCAGTCAATTTTGGATACAGTACATGTTCTCCACCGTCCCGGTGAATCGCAGCCTTATGTGGTGGAGTTATTTATGGTTGTGGATGAAACTATGGTAAGACAATGGATATTTTCACTAAATGATTACCTAAATACAGTTTCAGATAAAATAAATGATTCAGTGATATTTAACTAGTGGGGAGTTTTTTAATAAAATAATTTATCCATACTGGTGTGTCGTGTTCCATGGTGAAATTCAGTTCCAATGTTCCCACTAATAATAAGCTTCTTGTTTTCTTTCCGGTTACTTACTTACGCCTGTTACTCCTCGTGAAGGAGCATAGGCCGCTCACCAGCATTCTCCATTCAACCCTGTCCCAACCAATCCTTTCAAGCTCTTTCCAGTTCTTATTCATCCTTTTTATATCTGCTTCTATTTCCCGACGTAATGTGTTCTTTGGCCTTCCTCTTTTCCGCTTCCCTTCAGGATTCCAAGTTAGCGCTTGTCTCGTAATGCAGTTTGATGATTTCCTCAATGTATGTCCTATCCATTTCCATCGTCTTTTCCTAATTTCCTCTTCAGCTGGAAGCTGGTTGGTTCTCTCCCACAAAAGGCTGTTGCTGATGGTATCCGGCCAATGGATGTTGAGTATCATGCGTAGACAGCTATTAATAAATACCTGTACCTTCTTGATGGTGGTTGTTGTAGTTCTATAATTTTCAGCTCCGTACAGTAGAACTGCCTTGACGTTGGTATTGAAGATTCTGACTTTGATATTGGTTGAAAGTTGTTTTGAGTTCCATATGTTCTTCAGTTGAAGGAATGCCGCTCTAGCTTTGCCAATCCTTGCCTTGACGTCTGCATCTGAACCTCCTTGTTTGTCGACGATGCTTCCCAGGTATGTAAAGGATTCCACGTCTTCCAGAGTTTCGCCATCAAGAGTGATTGGATTGCTGTTTTCCGTGTTGTGTTTGAGGAGCTTGGTTTTCCCTTTGTGTATGTTGAGGCCTACTGATGCAGAGACTGCTGCTATGCTGGCTGTCTTTGTCTGCATTTGTTCGTGTGTATGTGATAGGAGGTCTAGGTCATCTGCGAAGTCCAAGTCGTCTAATTGGTTCTGAGCTGTCCATCGTATGCCGTGGTTTCCCTGAGATGTCGAGGTCTTCATAATCCAGTCGACCATCAGGAGAAACAGGATGGGAGAGAGTAGACAGCCTTGTCTTACTCCGGTCCTTGCTTGGAATGCGTCAGTCAGCTGTCCTCCATGCACTACTTTGCACTGTTGTCCATCGTATGAGTTCCGGATAATGTTGACAATCTTCTCAGGAACTCCGTAGTGTCGAAGAAGTTTCCATAACGTCCTCCTATCTACACTGTCAAATGCCTTCTCATAATCAATGAAGTTGATGTAGAGTGACGAGTTCCACTCAATTGATTGTTGGACGATGATCCGTAGTGTCGCAAACTGGTCTGTGCACGACCGGTCCTTACGGAATCCAGCTTGTTGATCTCGAAGTTGAGCGTCAACTGCGTCTTTCATCCTGTTCAGTAACACTCTGTTAAAGACTTTACCTGGTATTGACAGTAGTGTAATGCCTCTGTAGTTTTCGCACTTGCTCAGATCTCCTTTCTTTGGAATCTTGATGAGGTGTCCTTCTTTCCAATCCATCGGCACTTGTTCCTCTTCCCAAATCTTCTTGAATAGAAGATGAAGCATGCTTGTAGTTACTTCGACGTCTGACTTCAACGCTTCAGCTGGTATATTGTCAGGTCCTGCTGCTTTCCCGCTCTTGATTTGTCTGACGGCCATTCTGATTTCTTCTGTCGTTGGTGGATTGACATTTATAGGAAGATCTGTGTGTGCTGCTTCGATGTCCGGTGGATTCATTGGAGCCGGCCTGTTCAGGAGTTCCTCGAAGTACTCTGCCCATCTGTTGCGCTGTTGTTGAATCTCAGTGATTGGTCTTCCTTCTTTGTCTTTGACTGGTCTCTCTGGTTTACTGTATTTCCCTGCTAGCTTCTTCGTTGCTAGTTCTTCCACGTATTTCTGCTTATCGGCTCTAATGCTCTTCTTCACTTTCTTGTTTGCTTCTATGTACTCAGCTTGTGCTTGGACTTTCTCTGCTCTTGTTCGACTGTTGTTAATTGCTGTCTTCTTGTTCTTTCTTTCTTTGATCCTGTCCAGTGTTTCTATAGAGATCCATTCCTTGTGATGATGTTTCTTGGGGCCCAGAACCTCTTGACACGTTGAAGTTAATGTTTCTTTGATACCTTTCCAGCTATCCTCCATAGTAGTTTCTTCTTCCTTCAGTAGGTCCTGTAAGGCTTGGAACCTGTTGTTGAGAGCTATCTTGAATTCATTGAGTTTGTCAGTATCTCGAAGGAAGGCTGTGTTGAACCTTTGTGGTGCTGTTTGTCCAGTTGTCCTGTTCTTCTTTAGCTTCAGCTTTAATTTGGCCACAACCAGGTGGTGATCTGAAACTATGTCCGCTCCTCTCCTGGTTTTTACATCTTCCATTGTCCTTCGGAACTTTTTATTGATGCAAATATGATCTATCTGGTTCTCTGTGGTGTGGTCCGGTGAGATCCATGTAGCTTTGTGTATACGTTTGTGTGGAAATATTGTTCCGTCTATGAGCAATTTATTGAATGCACACAGATTTGCAAATCTTTCTCCGTTTTCGTTTCTCTCTCCCAGTCCATGTAGTCCCATGATGTCTTCATATCCGGTGTTGTCCATTCCGACTTTGGCGTTTAGATCTCCCATCAGAATGGTGAGGTCCTTTCTTGGGCACTTCTCTATGATTGATTGCAGCCTCTCATAGAATTGATCTTTAACGTCGTCGTTGCTATCATCGGTGGGTGCATAACATTGGATAATGTTCATTGTGATCCCCTCCTTCTTTGTTTTGAATGATGCTTTGATGATTCTGGATCCGTGAGATTCCCATCCTACAAGTGCATTTCGTGCTACTTTGGATAGCATTAGAGCAACTCCCTGAGTGTGTGGAGCATTTTCCTCTTCGTGACCGGAGTATAGCAGCATCTCTCCCGTATTTAGCCTTTGTTGTCCAGCTTGGGTCCAATGGGTTTCGCTGATTCCCAGTACTGCCAAGTTGTATCTCCTCATTTCCGTTGCTATTTGACTGGTCTTCCCGGTCTCCCACATTGTCCGGACGTTCCATGTACCTATAAAAATTGTTGCTCTGGTTGTTAGAATGGGCATCGGCCTCATGGCTTCTGAAGGAACTCGGCTTTCACCATGAAGCGTCATATTACCTCTAACTCCTAGGGCAGAGTTTAAATGTTTTGAGTTATTTTTTCTGTTTAGCGTTTTTTCAGCGAGTTAGGTTTCTACGGGATGGGGACGCTAACCTCATGCCCAACCCTCCTCCTTTACCCAGGCTTGGGACCGGCAGTAACTCTGGAAGAGCTACAGGCGGAGTTTTTCTCTCCGGTACAAAATTCAAATATGGCTGCCTCAGATGTAACCTTTAAAACTTTAATTTATATTTCTGTCGTACAATATTTTTCTTGGTATCAGAACGGGTTTTGTGGAGATTGTAGTAATTTCAATAGTTGAGATCATGATTCAATTGAAGCTAGACCACCATGGAAAACCTGGAAGCACTGGACGGCCGTTTCGTCCTATTGTGGGACTCCACAGAACTGTTGCCAGTTTTCACGTTTCTGTTCTTAGAACGGAGAGCGTTGGTTTTTACCAACTTACGTCACCTATGGCGAAGGAGAGATATCCGTCTATCAATTAAAGGACGGGTATACTGCGTGGCAGTTCGTTCTCTTCTGTTTCACCGCTGTGAAACGTGGCCATTAAGAGTAGGAGATACCCGTAAGTTACCAGTATTTGATCACAAATGTCTTAGAAATATTTCTCGCATCTGCTGGGATCACCGGGTAAGTAAAAGGGAGGTTAGACACAGGGTATTAGAGAATGATGGCAAATCAGTTGATGAGGTTATGAATCTTCATCGACTGAGTTTGTTGGGCCACGCGTTACGTATGCCTGAACACCGACTATCACAACGCGCAATGCTGATCGGTATTGTAGACGAATGGAAGAAAGTTAGGGGCGACCAAACCAAAACGTAGCATTAACCCATAAAGTCACCAACTTCCTGTCTGAGCTATGTTGGTAGATACGGACTACTAGGTGGGGGTCCGTGCGATTATCGTAACCAACGTTTGAAGACTCTTGGTGACATGGCTCAGAATCGATCACAATGGCGTCGGTGTATACACTCTCTGTCTTCCTTCAAACTAAGAGATTAAAATCACTTCAAATCTTTCTTTCTAGGAACTAATTCTTTCTTCCTGTACTATGTCCTTATACACAATCTTTCTTCTATATATTACCACCACTGAATTAACTACTTCTATGAATCCGGTGTTCATCTTGTTGTGCTAATGCGGTATGACAACTTGGACCGATGCATATGTGTGTCTGGTCCTATGTTGTAGCTGACTGACTGTAATTTTCTTAGATCTAACTTTTACTATCTTTTCAGATTTTGGCCAGGATGTTTGTTTAGGCTACCTTAGAAATGTCTCCGAACCAGTCAGTTGTGTATAACTGAAGCGATTTACTTTTGTCAAGATAGAAAAAGTAAACACCTAGTTGTTAGGCTGAATTAAATTTGTAATATTGTTTAATTATAGACTGTTAAAAAACATAAAATGTAAGTGATATATAAGTCCTACACGAATTGTTTGCACTGTCGTACATGTAGCACAAATGATTGTTTTACTCATCACAGTTATAATATACATGAGTTAGCGACTAGTTAATGGTATTATTAATTTTTATTTCCTTTATCATACGCTATCGCTGATTAGTAGTACTTTGAACTGTTTACATTTTGTATGTGAGACATATTTTCTCCGTATTTGTTTTCCTTTACATTTTTCACTATTATGATTTAAAGGAAATGGGTTATCGTTTTACTTCGATTTTGTTGGATCTCATATTTTTATTTGTGGTGGTTAAGACATTGAACTTTCAGCTAATAGATTGCAGGTTCGAACTATTATTCACCTACTTCAGCTTAAGTAAATGATTATTATCACTAATTGGACTGTGTTGATATTGACATTTTTAACTAGTGTAGTGGAAAAACAGCTGTGGGAGATGATGGAGATCGGAAAAAACAGCGTGTATATTCATGTACAGAGATAGGTGAACGTAAAACCAATAAGTTATTTATTCAGAGGAGCGTCTTATATGGATTGCACAGAGATACGGTCACGTGGATCAACCAACTGATTTCAGTTTGTAGTGTCCGCTAATACTTACATTCAGTGTCGATGTCGAATGAGCTGTAATTTACTTACCGTTATTATTCGTTAGACGTTTTTAATACCAAGAAAAATCTATTTTAATCCCGTACTTTTGGTCTAGTCCCATAAGGAGTTGGTCTCTGTCCAAATCGAACAGATATGGAATCTTATCATGATATTGAAAATCATTAGTTCAAGTCTCTGAAATGTCAATAGTTTTCGTTAGGTTACATAATTTTTTTTCTACTGATTTAACAACAAAATCTGAGAAATTCCATATCCAGCTCTTCCTTTCAATAACTTTTTACAATTAGCTATTATTTTACATTTATTTAACTGTCTGTTAAGTTTGCTTCAGTGTTGTCTATTTGAGTAGATTACTTTTATCAGAACCATCTCATTTTATTTTTTCGTAAAAAGATTGCGGAATTTCGCGGACAATATCATCAATTGGTTTCTCGTATCAATATGATTATTGCACTTGTAAATAAGGTAATTTATTTAGAGTTTCACTCTATTACTAATATATTCTGACTATTATTTCTATGAGTACATAATTATATTTTCATTTTACACAGAAAAAAGATTCAAAATAATAGTCCTATAGGCATCGATCTACAGTTATAGTGTAAAGTGTTTATAAACAATCTCAACAGTTTTACATGTAACAGTGATCATTCTCATTGCATTATCGAAATTTATCAAAAAGACTAATTGTTATAAAGATCATTTAAGTATTCAACATAAAAACTGGTCATATTTTCAGTAATGAACTATGACTTTTTTGATTATGCCTTGAGATACACTACTACATCTCTGACTGTGAAGCTGGGTGACACGGGATCGAATCCGCCAGGGAGCACCAGTTCCCTCAAAGATTACAGGTACACCTTGCTGACGAGTGCCAAGTAGCACGAAACCCGGGTCCAGGGTTTCCTGTCGACTACCTCCAATCACCATCTAATGAGTACAGGATTAGAATCCTGCCAGTCTTGCATAAGTATTTTGCACTTCGAAGGTGCAAAGTACATACCATACCTACGGACACTGATTGCCAACTGATTAAATGCGGATTGCATGGCTTGAACATTCTCGCACAGTAAGACAATATCATCCGCATACTCAAGGTCGAGAAGTCTTTCTCCAGGCAACAGATCCACACCACCATTACCTACATCCATCAGAGCTGTTTCCAGAATGTCATCGATGGCAAAGTTGAAGAGGAATGGTGAGATTGGGCAACCCTGCCTAACCCCACTGCTTGAATGGAATAACGGAGAAAGGTGGTTGTATGCCCTCACTCTGCCTGAGGTGTTAATAAACTTCTCAGGCACACCCTTCTTCAATAGACAATCCCAGAGAACAGTTCTGTCCAACGAATCGAAGGCAGCCCTGATATCAAGAAACACTACGATTGTTGGCCTTTGATAAGTATGGCGGTGTCCTAACACTTGGCGGAGGGTGAAGATATGATCAATACATCCTCGACCAGAACGAAACCCAGCCTGCTCCTCACGAGTCAATCCTTCTCGGGTTCTGAACAACCTACGAAGTATGACGGAAGCCAATAGCTTGGACGCAATCGGAAGTAGACTTATCCCCCGATTGTTGTTACAGGAACAACGTGAACCCTTTTTCAAGATAGGGACAACTACCGACTCATTCCATGACGTTGGTACACACTCTAGTTCCCAGACCTTTGTAAACAACGTCGTCAGTCCCTTAGTCGGAAAGTCACCACCATCTTTGAAAAGAGCCGGAGGTAAGTCGTCTGGGCCCGGTGATTTGTAGCGTTTCAAGAGTTGGAGGTCCTTGCGGACTTCCGCCTCATTTGGTGGATCAGTCGTCACCGGCCATGGAGGGCAGGACAGTCTGACCGATGTTGCCGGAGCAGCAGGCCAGTTGAACTGCCTTTCAAAAAATTCTGCCCATCGTCCAAGACGTCGATGGATGTTAGTGATTGGCATCCCGTCATTCTCGCAGATTGTTTCGCTCACACCAGACTTCTTGCTGCCAGTGTCTTGGACGAGTTGGAAGAGCTCCTGGTAGTTACCAGATGCAGCTGCTGCTTCCAGCTCATTAGCACGCTCCGACCACCAGGCTTCTCGGTCCTTACGCAAGCTTTGCCCGATTTCATTACGTAACATCCTTCGTCTGTGGTCAAACTCACGGTCACCCGGAGTAGACCGACGGGCTTCAATCAGTTGTAAGGAACCAGAAGAAACCCGGTGCTTGTAAGCGGGACGCTTCGCGAACCCACAACAGACTGTACCCACCATTTTCATGGCGTCATGCAATTGCAACCAATGCTCATCTATACCTATTCGGTGGAATGGTAGCTAGCCTAGAAGCTAGCTCGGTTCGGTACTTACTAGCAACAGAAGTTGCAGCCAGCTTGCTGACATCAATCCTTTGGTGGCGGTCACTTCGTTGTCCACTGAAAAGTAAGGTAAGATTGGCGCAGACCAGAGCATGATCATAGTCCAGATAGGTACTCCAAAAGGAGCGGCAGTCTTGTACACAACCACGCCAGCGGTAGCTGATCGCGATGTGATCAATCTGAGTCCAGGCTTGAGATGTAGAAGAGGAACGCCAGGTGGCACATCGGCGATGACTGTGCCGAAAGTTATTGCTAGCCAGAAACAGGTTGTGGTCTGTGCATAGCTGCATTAGACGTTCCCCGTTATCTGTCCTGCGACCAACAAGTCCCCATCGGCCACCTAAACGACTCTCTTCTGTGCCTAGACGCCCGACCTGAGCATTCAAGTCTCCGGCTAGTACTACAATATCTGTCGAGCGCACTTTCTGGAGAACACTTAACTGGTGGTAGAATTCATCCTTGATTGCATCCGGGCTGCAATCTGTCGGGGCATAGGCGGAGATGACGAAAAGACATCGTTTCTCACGCCTATTTCTTCTCACTTTGATGGAACTTTCTAACCTAACAGCACATAACCGACTGTTAATGGGGATCCAGTCGACTAGTGCTGCCTCAGCTCTAGCGCTTAGTGCTACACCAACGCCAGCAAGACCAGACGAAGATGCCACAGGGTCCCCGGATAAACGCACATAAAACAAGCTTTTTGAAGTGACAGATGGAGAGCGAACTTGTAGTACTTCACCAGAGTCTTGAATACGGGTCTCGGATAGACAACACACATCAATATTAAGACTTTCTAAAGACATAGCCATCCCTATCTGTTGTCCGACCTGCATAAGTGTGCGAACGTTGAAGGCAGGCAGTTTGAATAATGCACGTGGTTTCAGAAAAACTGCTTCAGTACTCGTATTCGGTGGTAACATACAATTTTGAACCAGGCAGTGACTCGAGAACGTTTAGATAAAGCTGAATTTTCACCATAGGCGAGCTGCTGTCTAGGTCGAAACGGATACATAAAGTAGGAATAAGAGAGGGTGAATAAATGAGGTGGTAAAATAATAATAATAATAATAATAATAATAATAATAATAATAATAATAAATAGTACGAGTCATTTCAATGTTAATCAGAGAGAAAGGAATATTTTTCATAAGCAAATAGTTCATCATGATTTTAGTGCGTGGGCTGAGATACTGCCCGAGTGCCCAAACCGAAGCAGGTGGTTTTCTTAGTAGGCCACACCCCGAGCCTTTGACCTAAAGCTCTAGTCCACAAGGCAGTGGAGCATCGTGAAGAGATGCAGTCCCGTGGAAGCCGGTGACCAAGAAATTGGTTCATACACCATTTGTTCCCTCAGGATACTGGAGCCCATGTGCTATAACAACGTTATGATTATAAACAATCTTCTCATATATGTCATTTTAATTAATTAATTAATTATTAGCAAAGATGAATGGTAGTTGGTAGTGGAGTTCGGGCGCACATTTCGTCCTATTTGAGACTCGTCAACTGTATTTACCCGCATCCCAGTGTTGATGTTGACTTAGGGACTCGAACCCAGTACTGTTCGCTTCAAATGCCATCGCGTTATCCACAAAATGTATTATTGTTGTTCTTAACTTTAATGCAACTTATTTCATAATACAGTATTTTTACACTTGCCTTTTGGTCACAACTTCCATTTGAGTGCTCGAGATATTTATTATCTAGTTGATCAAATCAAGCGCTCTGAAGTCCGGAACTTATTTATTAAAAGTTGAATATCTTAACCACTAATTCATTAATTCATATTTACCAGTTGTTTAATATGTACAAGGAAGATTAATAAATTTTCAAAATACACTACATGTTCATTACTTTTTATCATTATTCTTTTGTTCATTATGATATATAGCGAGAAGGGCAACAATTTTGTGAATTATACTTGACAGTGTCCTAAACTTTTTTATATTTTAGTATGCATATTTCTCTTCTTCATTTAAACGGTGTGTCATTACACGAAAAGGCGTATCATTCATTGTAATGAATAATATTTCCGATAAATGTATAATGGATATATTGTAACTGTGATATAGAGACAAGCCGGTAACAATGTTTAAATGACTTTGTGATGTGTTAATCAATAGAACTAACAAAACCTTTCAGAGTGTAGTGGTTTCAATAAGTTTGTTAGTTTCTCAAGGCTTATTGTAAGTTCTTTTAGTTAGTAATGGAGAAATTTCGCTGTATATTCGTTTTAATCTGGATAAGAATATATTCACATCGAAGACTTCTTTTCGATTCTTTTCCATAGTCATAAAAAGTCGTGTAGAAGTGTCATAATCGCCTACAAAATCCTTATTAATAAACACATTGAAGGGTTAAGAGATAGTGATATAAATCAAGTGGTATGACCAAGTCATTTGTGCATCAGTAAATCGAATTTGGCAAACTACTTAATAACTACATGTTTTATTGCCATACATATTTCCATGAAATACTGACCATTTTCCCAATTAATTAAAAGTATCTGTAGTAACTTGTATTAATTAATCAAGCCAATCATCAAAAATATTTTGGCAAGAATAACATTCAGACAACATAAATACTGCTTTGATAAGAAAACGATATGATCTATTTATCACGTATTGCCGTAGTTTGAATTAAAATTATGAGTCTAGTCAAACTGCTAACATTTGCAGTCTCATTTAATAGATGTTTTATAAAGGTTAATTATTAAATCATCTTATCGCTTATCTACAATTAATGAACATTAAACTTATTGTGGGGTATAATTATAACATTCAGCTTTTAAATGGGTTTCTTTATTGACTGATTGCTTTTGCCACAAATAACTTTAATTCGTAAGGACTGCGCTGATCATTAATTCATTCATAGTAAATACGAATGTAGTGTGATCGTTTTTTTAAATTTTCAATTGTGAAATGTAGCTGATTTACATAGTTGACTGTCTTATCTTGCTAACCTTTTAAGTATGTAAGCGGATTTATATTGATTCACTTACTGATTTCAAGTTGACCTAAATAAACCTCCTCCCAAAATTTCTCTATCACTCATTAAATTCCGTTGATCCAGAATTTTTAATGTTCTTCCTACCAAACTCATGTTATCA